TTGGGCCTGGTGCAGTGGTCTAGTGGCAAAAGTCCTCGCCTTGTACGTGTCGGGATCCCATATGGGTGCTGGTTCTAATCTTGGCAGCCCCTCTTCCCATCCAGGGCCCTGCTTATGGCCTGGGAAGAGGCTCCGGACTCCTGGCTTTGGATCGGCTCAGCTCCAGCCATGGGGGGTGATTGGGGAGTGAATCAAACAGAAGATCTTCCTCTCTGTCTCTCCTCCTCTCTGTATATTTGCCTTTTCAACAAAAAGAAAAATCTTAAGAAAGTATGAACTCTATGAATGTCAACTATGGGATTAGGATCTGTTTCTTATTTGTAAAATGAGAATAACGGAATAACAAAAATGCCTCCGAGTTATTAATGAAATAACATGGTTACACTTAAAGATGACGTTGCTTGGCACACACTCAGAGCTACCTGTTACGGTCACCAAGACATGTTAAAGTTGTAACAACAGAAGGAGCTGAGGTCCAGGGGACTCCCACCTTCTTTAGGATCACATGACAATGTGACAGTCCCAACTGGTGGATACATGCAGCCCTAATCTTCAGCAAAGCCCTGCTCTTTTTCCAACAAGATGGCATGTCTAGGTCCCCCTCCCCAAGTAGCTATTAATGAGAAGTGAAACCGCTGAAATACCAGAGAAGTCACACACTTGTGTTACACATTTTCAAATGCTCAGAGTTCACTGCAAACTTCTCTACTGCCACCTCCAAACTTTGTACACTCCTTCATCCTCTTCCTCATCACTCCTCTGTCCCACTGAACTACCCAGGAGGAGCAAGAGAGCCCAATTACCAAGTGATCCGCTACACAACAATGTTTAACAGCACTGAGTATTTTTTAAAGAGTAAAAACTTAAGCATTTAGTAGAGCATAACTAGGTAATGGATTACATGTGAATTGAAAAGATCCAAACTATAGAAAAATGTATCCAGAGGGAAATGATGTTCCTTTCACTGTATTCCCCAGAAACCCAGTTTGTTTTAAGGGGCAACCAGTTTCTTAGACATCTTTCAGGAGACAAGACAGGATTTTGCTGGACTTTAAATCAACGACAAAGAATATTAGAGGATGTGGGAAAATGTTTAACACTTAAGAAGAGTTTTCTTTCCTGAGAAGTCTTTTTCCTCAAATCAATATAAACGACAACTCAAATGCAAAAATCTGCATGTGTGTGAATGTGACAAGATCCACACCAAAGATGCTAGCAGGCAGACGACACTTCTCATGAAACACACCAACTCAATGTCACTGTTTACAGATTCCCGCTCCTTGCAGCCAGTCTTATCCAGTTCTTCGCAATTACGGACCTGAGATTCTTTCAATTGTACTATTTAGCCCCTAAACAGGGAAAAAGGAGGCATTCTGTGATTTGAACATGGCAAAGGACTTGTCTTTTCTTCTGCAAGATGTCTGAGGCCACCACGACTCGACTACCACATTCTGAAATGAGAAAGTGTTTGTAGTGACCTGGGCTAACTAGCATGGATGATCCAGACTTCAATTTCATTTAAAAATGACATCCAGGGCCTAGTGCCTAATGTTCTCGCCTAGCATGTACCAAGATTTCAAATGGGCACCGGTTTGTGTCCTCACTGTTCCGCTTTCTGTCCAGCTCTCTGCTTGTGGCCTGGGAAAGCAGCAGAGAATGGCCCAAGGCCTTGGGACCCTGCACCCGTGTGGAAAACCTGGAAGAAGCTCCTAACTTCTGGCTTCAGATCAGCTCAGCTCTGGCCATTGTGACCACTTTGGGAGTGAACCAGCAGATGGAAGATATTCCTGTCTTTTGTGAATCTGAGTTTAACAAAAATAAATAAATCTTTTAAAAAAAATGATATCCCAATTGGACAAGTAATGAAATATTTATAACTTTTTATCCTGACTATACAAGGGAACTGCAAATATTCATGGAAACAAAGTTTATTGGCACAAAAATCTGAAACCTATGCAGTTTTCATAATACGTATTTGCCAAATTTACTGAAAATCTTTCATATGGATTCACATTTCTACTTCTCCGTCATATTTTCCCTGATTTCCTCAAGTGTACATTCATTTTATTTCAAACTGTTAAAACAGATTTAACAAAAGCACTCATCATAATACAGATTTTCCCAGTGTTCACTAAAAACAATGAAAGCTAAGAACTTGTAAGTAATAGCTATTGTTCTTCACAATAAATCTTTGGCGACACTATTCTTTTCTTTCCTGTTAATATTTTCCATTTTTTTTTCCCAATTTCATAGCAAATAAATTAGAGTTGGTATCCAGACATCTTTTCCTCTTATTTCATCGAGGGCTGACAAAACCTAGGGACAATCTGGATGAAGCCCTGGGTTGCCATTGGGCCCTCAATGGAAGAGGCCCCAGCAGATAACTGAAGGGCTCTCCCTCTCTTCCAACTCTGTTGGCCCCTAACTTGTCTGTTTGCTATTCTGAGTCTTGGGTACAGATTCAGTAGTCTGACCATCACTGAGCCCTGTTCATGAATTTCTTTGTCAGTGCCTTCTTGCTGCTTTTGTCGCCTCAGTTTCCATTAGTAAAGCCAACCGCAAGGGCATTCAGCCAACTTATTTCCCCCAGCTCAGCCAACTCTTACTGCAGTTCTCACAAGAATGTTAGGAAAGGCCCCATGGGGCTAGGAAGTGATCCCAACACTCCTAGAGAAAATGGATTCTTAAATCCTGGTATGAGCTTCCGTTAATTAGAGATGTGATTTCTTTGTCCTAATCAATTAAGAACTTCCTTCTCCATCTTCTGGCTTCCATGTTCAAGTTTTAAAACTTTTCAATTCCTCTATTCTTTAATGGAAACATTTCTATCTTAGAAATAGAATTCATCTAAGGGTCAGCCTCTTGGCACAGGTTATACCTCCACTTGCAACACCAGCATACCACACTAGAATATAAGTTCAAGTTCTCTGATCCAGCTTCCCACTAATATGCCTGGAAGAGTGTAGGGGACGGCCCCAACACTAGGGCCCCCTGCAACTCACATGAGTCCTGTGTGAAGTTTCCAGCTCCTGGCTTTAGTCTGGCTGTCTCTGACCTTTGCGGTCATTTGGAAAGTGACTGAGAAGGTAGAGGATCTCTCAGTCTCTCCCTCTCTGTCACTCTGCCTTTCAAGTCAATAAACCTTTTTTAAAAGTAAGTGAACCTCATCTGGTATTTAGAACACCATTCTGAACAGGTGCTTCTGCATCCTTTCTAAACACACACAACTGTTACTGAAACCTTTTATCTTACACATATGGGATTGTGAAATAAATGGACTGTTTTTCAAGAGAATGAAAGGTGTGGATTAATTATTTGTAGAATAAGCTTTTTGCGAAGTTTAAACGGGTCAATCCTGTGGTAAAGCAGCAGTACAGGGTGACTGCATCTAGCACTGCTCACTACCTGGCCTCAAGTGACAAAGGGCAGCAGTTCCCAAAAGATGTCAACTAATCAACAGCACCGAGGGCAGGATGGCCAGATGAGAATAGTGGCTGCTAGTCTTGGACTGAGTTTGACCTCCTACTCTAGTTTTTATTAGCTTTCCTACAATGGACACACCTTTGATCTCTCTATGATCATTTTTATCAATAAAATCCTAGTAATCACACATATGCACTCATTTCACGGGCTTGAGGATTTAACAAGTATATTTATGTAAGTTGCCTAGAAAATAGCTAGAGCAGTTCTATGGAAATGCTTGCTTTTATTGTTGTTGCTTGGCTCAATAATGCCTATGGTTAGGAGTAAAAAAGGAAGTGAAGCATAAGGCATTTTGTGTCGACTTGCAGGGAAATCACATGGTACTGAAATACTTCCCCTGGGAATATATTCAAACCTAGAAACCTACTATAGGAAAGTCTTCACTTCTCCCAGTCAGAACAAGTTATCTTTGGACATCTCAAATTTATTGAATCACCAACAATTATAAAATCAAATATATGCAGATGGAGTGCATCTAATGTCTTGTGACAAACCACACTCTCCAGTATTTTTGTCTATAATTGAAGAATCTTTTTTTTCGTAGATAAAAATCATAGCATATAAATAATTTTAATTAAATCATTAGCTCTATATAGTTGTCCAGAGAGGTTGGGAAACTTCATGAAACAGATTAAAACTGTAGATGGAGGATTTTTTTGGTGGCCAATTGGTATAAAATCACATCAGAACTTTTTTACAATATGGCATTGGCTCAACACGCTTGCCAATCTAAGGATTTTGAGATTGGTTTGGTCAAAGAATTCCAAATAAGTGGCTTTTCTCAGCTACATTTTAAAGTAGGATCCATGCCACTCCTAAAGTAATAAGCTATAATTCAGATACCAATCAACCCAAACGTTTTATTAGTATAACCACGCTCTGTTGGAAAGAAACTGAAATGTTTCAAAAAGGGTATAGCTTGTTACAGCAGGCTCTGTGAGGCAATGAATGAAAGATTTGTGTTCACATTTTCCCCAATTTATCTTTCCTCATTGCTGGGTGGGAGAGTGCAATCACATAAGAAATTTGGCCTCTGCATCCAAGTATTGATACACAGCTTCCCGTCAGCACCAGTTAGAGTATAATTACTATCAGGCACTTGCATCTCAATTGAGGGAAATTAAATGTACAAATTAAAATGAAAATGACATTTTATAATAGTTATATTTTGGCCAAATCTAGATCATGTTGCTTATGTTTGATAATTTAATCATTAGGCGTGAACGGTTGAGTGATCACTTTTAGCAGTCCATGAAAAAAACTTGATTTACATCTTTTCTCTATCCAATCAACCGACTGAATGTTTAATGATGCTTCTTTCAGATTCTCATGTGTTTACCATACCTTGCTCCAAACATGCCAGCAATATGTCATTTTGTGAAACAAATCTTCCAGTTTAGAGGAAAGCCTTGGCTATCACTGTGAATACCTATAACCCGTCCATCTGATAATGTTCCCAGGCAGCCAGATGTCAGAGAAACAGGATAGTTCCTTTTGTTTTTCACCCAATGACTCACCCACAATGACAGCGGTGACAGTGAGCAGCACAAAAGCATTCCGAAACAGGTAACTTTTAACATCCTCCTTTGTGATGTTCTGAACTTTCTTCTTGGCCAGAAGCGTGCGTTTCCGGACTCCTTGCTGGAATCTCTCCATTCTGCCCCCAATCCGGGCCTCTTCTCCATTGCCTTTGGTCATAGTTTTTTTTTTTTTAATTCCTAGGGAGTGACTCTTCTTTGCACTTCAATGTCTTGGAATTGCCTCCAGAAAGCCCAACAGCCTCTTTGGTGTGAGAGACCACAACTGGAATGGGAGAGAAAGAGACAAGGGTTACGGTCTCGGAGGGTGAGAGGTCAGGGAAGGCTGTTGGCAGACTGCAGAACCTCAGGAGGAAGCAAGGATGGGTGAGCTGCGGTACCAGGCTTCAACTCAGAAACCAGGAGCAGAGATGTACCTTTGCTTATTAGAAAGTGCAAATTTCTCCCTCCAGGGAGAAGCTTGCCCAGAGCCAGGTGTGACAACGACCCCCAACACCACACTGTCCCCCACTCCTTAGCATTTAATAAAAGTCCACTCAAACTGAATGCACAGGAAGTGCCCGATAATTCCCTGATAAATCACACACATGGTTGAAATAACAACCAGGTCAACAGACAGGATTAACATACTGAGACGTTACAGTTGAGACTCTGTTGTATGCAGTAAAATAACTGGCTCTCTGCTTCATTAACAAAAAGCCATGATAAAATCAACTAGTAAACATAGTCATAAATAGACCTAGGTGTCCTCGGGACACGGGAAATACTACTGGCTATTTTAGAGGGTAACATTTTTCCGTGAAAGAAGCAAAGAGTTCTGGACAAATCTATAAATTATGTCTCTTTGTGATTCATTTTCATTTTTATCACAAGTGTAAGTAGAAAGTAGCATTTGTCTCGGTGGCAAACACACTTGAGTCTGAGGAGCTATCATGGACTTCTAAGTATTTTAAAATTGGGGATGATTTCTAGAACAGATAAGGAGATGAGCCTAATTTTCATTCCAAACATTACAGTGTGTGGTTTCTGGTTTCGCCAAAGCATCTTAGGGTATTCAGACACAATTAAGTAGATCTTTGCCCTGGGTGGAAATCAGTGGTTCTGAAATCGCAAGGGATTCTTTACAAGTTTTCTCAATCCACAGTCTTTGCCGTGATCAATTGCAGTGAAAATCAGCCATGCCTGTGAAAGTCTCTGGCGACGCAAGCAGCCAGCGTGTGCGACTGTGGGGGGAGAACTGGAAACCCAGGGACTGCTGACAGCTTTTCGCATACCCAAAGGTGAAGGGAAAAAAAAATTCTCTTCACCAGTTTGACATTTACATAAAATTGCAGGTTGGGGATCAGTGATAATAAGCCCTCCAACTTGTTTAAGACTTCACACCAGATTAAAAGCTTAGAAGTGCAGAAATGTAGGAGGGGGAGAAGGGAGCGACCAAACTTTCCCCCTAATAGCTCCGATTCCCTTTATCAGCCACTTTTCAGCAAGCAGCCTCAATCTTGATTCTTCTCCATATCACTAAAGCACAACCTACTCCCAATACGCACTCTGAACATGACTCAACTCCCAATTTCGAGAGCATCCGGCACGCAGACACACCACACGCTCAGGATGAGAAATTACTAACCCGACTTTACCAAAATGGCTAGCTTTTACTACTGCTCCTCCTCTGCTGGGGAAACTCGGTGGGGAAATAGGACTAGAATTGAAGTCCCACAGCACGGGAAGCTCCACTTACCTCTTCTGAGGTTGAAACGGAGGGAAACTTCCCAGGCAATGACAAGGTGAATTCCCCAGCAGGTACCACGGAGCCCCAACGCGCAGTGAGCCACGCGGGCTAGCCCTGACAACACTCATGTGCTCTCAAACTGCAAGTTACTATCAGGCAACTTAAGAAAAGGGGAGGAGCCTGCGGCCGGCAGAGGGGGAGTGGAGAAATGAAAACGGCACCGGGCAAAGAGGGAGAACCCTGAGGTTTCTGGAATATTGATTAATCTTGGCACAACCGGAACGGGCTTGCTGCCTTTGTTTTACTCCTTCAGCTGCTTTCAGCCTTTGTCAGCTCGGTTCCATTAGAAATGCAAAACCGGGACCAGGAAGAATTGCAAAATAAGGAGCGAGCGCGCGAAATCACACACACACACACACACACACACACTCGGAAAGCGTCTTGATTAGAACATTTCAAAGACTTTTCTAAGGCCAAGTTTATCACTGCACAGTATTGCAGGTTTCTTCCCTTGAAGAGAACGCGAGCAGTGGTTCAGCCAGGCGAAAGCACACTAACGAAAATAAGTCTTTCGATTTTGAATTGGGAAATAGCTGACATTTCTTGGGAAGACCCCGAATGTGATCTAACAGAGAGGGAAAAAAATGCTTAGCAAAATTCTCCAAACCATCCTAGAATTACTCGAAACACAAGCTGAGACATGCTATATTATAGTAGTTACAAATCCATTCCAACCAAATCTACTTTAAGCTCCAATCGCGTGCCTTACACTGAAAGACAAAAACACCAGGATTTCTGCCAAAAAGAAAAAGTGTATGTTAAGACAGTGCCAATGCACATTAGAAAACTCGGGATCTCAAAGCTAAAATCTCCCCTTTTCCTCCCCTCTCCATCCCTCCATTTATAGCAATCAGAAAATTCTCTTGGGCTCTAGAATAGAACAGATACTTCAGTTTATTGTTTTCCAAGAGAAAAAAGATTGAGAAGATGTTTAACACTTTTGTGCCCAACTCAAGTCGATTAGAAACACAAAGTCGATTAGAAAACAAAATTCACCCCCCCCCCAAAAAAAAATCAGAGTTCTGCATTCTTGTTCACCCAACTGCATAGCCTTGGTGCAAAGTCCACCCAATTCTTGGGCCTGTTATCTGACCAGAAAGTGGGTCGTTTTCCCCCTCTCATTAGTACATGCAGATATGTTACAAGGAAGCCTCTGGTCAGGTTCCGCTAGTCCCCATCAGCTAGATTGGAAAGCAATGATGAATCATGTAAATACCTTAAAAATTAGTAGCCATTGTAACTTTGGAATGATCTTTTAAAAGATTTATTTTTATTGGAAAGGCAGATAAAGAGTGAAGGGGAGGCAGAGAGGAAGATCTTCAGTCTACTGATTCACTTCAAGTGGCCACAATGGCCAGAGCTGCGCCAAGTTGAAGCTAGGAGTCCAGAGCTCTTCTGGGTCTCCCATGCAGGTGCAGGGTCCCAAGGTTTTGAGCCGTCCTCGACTGCTTTCCCAGGCCATAGGCAGGGAGCTGGATGGGAAGTGGGGCTGCTGGGATTAGAACTGGCGCCCATATGGATGCAGGAAGAGGACTTTAGCCACTAGGCTATCGTGCCAGGTCCTGGAATGATTTTTAAGTGCCGAAAATATACACTCTTGACAACCATAGCCTTTGGTGATCTTCCCTTCTGTTTTCCTAAATTAATAGTGTCTGTATCACATGTCTTAACAGTTATACGGTGTATTATACTTCAGTGTCCCTCTTTTATGTCAAGTTTTGGCTTCTCAAATAAGTTGCAATTTCTTTGAGGTCAAGAACCTGTCCTATGCCTGGCACATAGTAAACATTAAACAACTCTTCATAAATGGAAGGCATCATATTAGGGTGTGGGATAAAATGCTTTTCAACCACCTGGATTAAAACAAAACTTGCTTTTATGTCGGTGCCTCTGGTCTAAGTGTATGGAGCAGATCTCATTTTTCAACACAGTGACTCCTTTGGAAAAAGGGATTTTGTTCACTATACCAGGTCCTACCTGAGTAGGCTTAGGGGCTTAGGACTGACTCATTTATTCAGGCTTCTGGTGGAAATGGCTTGCAATTCAAGGGAAACTGGAAAGAAAAATCAGATGACAAAGTGAAATTTTGAAGCTGAGTGTACTTTCTGCTTTGTTTCTGCTTTTTCCCAGAGACGAGAAAAAAGAGCTGGAGAGCCACACTTGGGTTAGCCTAGAGATGACAAGACTCCGGTCCAGCTTTCTTTCCTAGTCTCTAAAGCTTGGTTGAAAACCATTTCATCATTTCAGTTTGTCAGACATTATGGAGGTCTGGTGTTCCTGGGAAATAACTCACCACTGAGAGTTTTGTTGGATGCAATAAAACCTCAGGCGAAAATGAGATGCAAAAAGGGTCTCAGTTCAGAGTTCATCCAAATTACAAGTTTTAGTCTGGGAGAAATAATTGCAAATGACTTCTTTTATGTACCATTTTCTCCTTCTGGAAAGTTATTACAATAATGCCCAGAGGCAACCTGGATTTACTCAGATTTGTACCTTCCTCCCTGCTACTTTATAGGCAAGGCCTTTGGAGCTTTAAAAGAGTTCTTTCCTCATAGAAACGCTACATAAACGAGAGATCCATAAATTATAGACTAGCCTCTGTAGGCTTGTTTCACTTACAACTCCTCGGAGCAAGGACACAAGAGTTAGGAAATCTTAGTAACGCCGACTTCTTGGAATGGCAAAAATGCCAACAGATAGACAGCAATATCATCCCTTTTGAAACATGTCAAGATTCATCTGCCATGTTGTGTCATAGGGAAATTTCCTTCTTTGGGGATAAAAGTGCCAGTATGACAAGAAACTACGGACACAAGCCTGTTCTCCAGAGGAGCACTTCTGTCCATTCAAGTATGAGAGATTGTGGGGATAAGCAACTGGTGATCAGAATACAGAGTAAGACAGTCAAATTCCAGCCTTCAAAACTTTTCTCCAATACAAGTGTAAGTAGTAACAACAACAACAACAAAAACCTGTGTTCTGGTTAATTTAGATGTTTGACTGGCTTGTTAGTTTCTATTTAGATAGAGAAATCAACTATAGAAGTGAACAATAATTCACCCTTACCAGACTCATTCACTTTTTGGCTATTCAACAAATGTGGAGCAACCAACCATACTTCAAAATAGTCTTTTTCCTCAAGGACCTCCAAAACATACATCTCTAATATATCACACAGTGGGCCAAAGTAGGGCCTCCGAGTTCACGGAAGCTGTGTGTTTAAGCCCCTTTTTCCGTTAGCCTGCCCGTAACACCAAGAGCATCTTGACACTGTGTCCAGCTCTCCACTGTATCTGGTGCCCAGCATGGTGCCCTAGGTAACAGACACAGCACAACACAGCAGAGAGGGGATTCAAATTCCTGCTGGAGAATAGATGGAGACTTTCAGACATCAAATTGAAGACCTTGAACTTTACTCCTAGGCTATGGGGAATCTCAGAATGTAAACATAAGAGTTAAATTTTAGATGGAATAAGAACATTTTCTGTAAGATGAGTTAGGAGGTGCAGCATTTACAAAGTGGGAGAGTGCCCATTCACATTAAAAACCAATTGCATTGAGAAAATACAGTGACTCTCAGTCTTGAGGCCCTTCAAAATTCAGTCTTCGAAGATTCATTTTATCTGAAAGTCAGTGTTTGAGAAAGAGAAAAAAGATTGTCCACTCACAGGATGACTCCCTGGGTAGCTGCAACAGCCAGTGCTGGATCAAGCTGAAACCGGGAGCTTCCTGTGTGTCTCTCTTGTGGGAGACAGGGAACCAAACACTAGGACCACCTTCTGTTGCTTTTCCCAGGCCATTTGCAGGGAGCTGGGTCAGAAGTGGAGTAGCTAGGACTCAAAGACCTAGTAAACCCTAACATCATGGGGGAGGACAAGGAGACCGTTATTTTACACGAACAATTTTTAATTACAAGTTAGCCAAGAGTTGTACATAACAGTATCTTTGAAAGCTAAGACAGTTCCCTCATACTAAAGAGGGTCTGCTTTGTAATGAAGACTTAATACTGATTTCATCAATATTGAGCTGTTATTCATAATTATTATAACATTTCCTTTCATTGCTCAACATTAGCCAAACCTCTGTAGTAACAGGCTTACTGGAGAGGGATCCTGTATGTTATATGACTTTAGCTGAGTATTAGCAGCAACAGTAGCCTACACTTTATGAGCCTTTATTGATTTATAAGTACTTTTATGCACATTGTCTGAGTCAATCTTCAGGATAATGATTTGAGGTGCAATCTATTGTTACTATTCCTCTATAGCCAGATGTTGAAAAAGATTTGTAGGGATTATGCTATTTTCCCAGGACCACAGTTCTTAAAACCTCTTTGTACTTTGATTTGTCTTTTTTTTTTTTCAGTTTCCAAAAGTAACTCCTAGTAGCTTTTATTATAGACACACAGGAAAGAGTGTAAGGAACATTAAAGAAGGCCTACTACGTGCTACCTCCTTGGGGACATTAGCAACAAAGCCCTCCCACTCTCCAGACCCAACAGGGCTGCTGGCCCTTCGAGGTGCTCCCAAAGCTCACATGAGTGTTAAGTTTCCAGTCATTACCACTCTGTACTGTGGTTCTCCCTCTGCAGACTGGAAGCCAGGTGGGCAGTGATAAGGGCTGCAAAGACAGGAGCCAAACAGAAAGTGCTTTGTTTGGGAACTGCCAGGATAAGTGGATACAATGTGCTCCTAGACACAGAAGAGCTCATCAATCCACCTGTAATTCTGAGGCTTGAAAAACTAAAGATCCTTTTTTATCAAATACAAACCAGATCCCAGCAGGGCTACCCTAAGGAAATGGGTGGGTGGGAAGATGGAGGGGGGGCGGCGGGGAGGCTACTCATAGTAGTTCACAGAAACTGGGTTCAGGCCCCTGGCACCTTTTCCATTCACAGATTTCCAACACATCTGAGTTGGGAACCAGGAATGAATAAGGAATTCAAGTGCTTGTGCGGTAATTCCTTAGAGCCTAGTTCAGGTTTAAAATTGACATCTTTGAACTTGTAGTCTTGGTGTTTGCAGTCACTAAAACATATGCTCCTTCCCCTCCCAATTCTGAATGTCATCCATAAAATTAGGTTGGACTAGATTA